GGGAACCAGCACAGCACAGTCTCCATTGCACTTTCCTAGCAGTGGTACTGCTTCTGATGGAGGTAACAGATAGCCAGCATGACTTGTAGCCCTTTTTATAGCCTTATCTCCATGCATTCATTTCATCTCTACAATAGCTGTTTGTAAACATTCTGTTAGAAAGATCCCCATTTTAATTATCCAATAGGAAATGCACTTATGGCTGCAAATTACAAAATAAAAATGTAGTTTTGTTTAGTTTCCCAACATTTCTCAAGGGAAATGAAATTTAAACTTTAAGTATATGGTTCTTCAGATGTATGATGGGCATGTGATGCAGTTTATTTTTATTTTTATTTACCAAACTCATCCCCGCCCATCTCCCCCCAATGGGGGACTCTGGGCAGCTTACAACAGATTAAAACAATAAATAAATATATAGTTAAAATTTAAAAGAAAACACATTTACACAGAATAAACGAAAAGGAAAAAATCCAGGAGGCCAATAGAAGCAACACCAGTTGTGTTTACTGGGTTCATTAAATCACTAGCTTCCATCTCTTCCCAAGGTGGTGCTATCTGGAAGTGAAAATACAACCTCCAAAAATCTCAGCCAACATGACTGGGAATTTTGAGAGTTGTAGTCCATCACATATCTAGAAAACCAGATTAAGATTAGAAGCAATATATAATACACCCTGTCTTCCAGATACATTTTTTTAATTACTCTCCTGCAGTATATCTGTTCTCTGAATCAGAACCATCTTGTTTTGCCATATTTCTTCTTTTCTAGCAATAATCTTTTGTGGATCTTCAAGAATAATGATCTTTCCATAATTTTTTAGAGATTTAAAACATATCTGCTAGAAAAAGATATTCTTGGTCAATGTGTTATGCTGGTTTTCCAAAACGTCAAAATGACAGAAATGTTCTCCCAAATTTTAGTCTCTAGGCATTAACTTAGCATTTTCAATTACTGTCCTTCAGTGAAATTTATTTCTATTTATTTAACTCAGGAGAGAAGAAAAAGCATTTTACAGACTACATTTCTTTTCACAACTAACTTATTCAGGAATGATACATTAAAAGATAAAGCAAAAAAGAAACCCAAATGGAGTTTAAACATTTATGATATATGTTTAAACTGTTGACTGCATCTGTTTTAGTTAGCAAATTTGTTTTGTGTCACTCTTAATCAGAAGGCTTATATTTTTGTTTCTATTATTGATTTTGCAGCCATGCCAGTTAATGTTGTTATCCTGGACAGTACATTCAGAAGGTACCTTACAGACATTTTAAATAAAAGCAGACATCAATTGGGCACTCAAAAATGAAATAAGAACTAATTTTCTATAAGAACTCAGAAAAAGCAACCTCTTACTGTATTATATATTCTTTTTTCAAATGACACATCTTTTCCTATCCTTTACTGTAAAAATTTAATGAATAGGACAAATCAAGGACAGAAAAAAACGATCCCCTCCTGAAAACAGATTGTTTGGAGATACAAAATAAATGAAAGCAATGACAATATGTTTCACATAAAATCCTCTCATTTACCAACTGATATCATTATAAGCATAAGCACTGTCATATCATCTTTATTCTGATCACTGTGACCAATATGATTATAAAAAATGGGTGCGTAGTTCATAAGTATTACAGTATGTCTTTGAAGTATACACAGATAACCTATAAGAAACTGGGGTAGGGGTTGGCCCTGCTAGTATCCTTCTTGGTTGTTTCATGGAACTGGGCTTTTGAGACATTAACTTCAGTGTTTTGTAGTGTTCCCAGATCCCCTATAAGGCTGTCTGACCTTTAGGGCATGACTTATGGTATTTCATGGGACTTCACCTTGCCCTCCCTACTATTTAATTGTCACTGAAGGAGGTCATGTGGAAGCTTGAAGTAAGTCTTTTAGTGAAACATATAGTAGAGAACTAAGAAGTCCCTAGTGACCACCTTCTAAATGTCATCAGGATGAGACATTCAAAAGAAGCCTGCAGCAATTATTTCATAATTTGGTAAGTTTGGGTACCACATGGACATACTGGCTCCTAGCCATTTTGGGGTTGTACCCCAGAATCAGAATAGAAGAATGTGTGTTTCAAGTAAAGCATCAAGCTGTGATGCAATAGATACAACTGGAAGGCAAAAGATCTACTTACCTGCTACAGAGGACCATTCCATGACCTAATAGAACCAGTTGGATACAACCAGTTGGGAAAATTGGATTGCACTAACAGTCAACAGGACTTCTAAAGCCCAAATTCCAAGAAGCAAATTTCATGGTAAGAAGGGCAGTATCTCATGCATGACAAATTTGCATAACACACTTTCCAGAACTCCCCTTAAAAGTCTTACCACACAGTATGGGGTCATAATGGGTGTAGAAAGAAGGTGCTGTTAAAAAAAAATGCAAATTCTTTCAGTCCAGACCATAATCACAACTGTTATTCAAACTGTTATTGTCATTGGCATCGTCATCATCTCTTCTTCTTCCTCAGTTCACTTTGGTGCTTTTCTGCAGAGACCCTGATATTCCAATCACTCAGTCTCAGACTTTTGAAAGGTGAAGCTTTTTATGGGATTGCAGTAAAAGATACCTGAAAGGTCCCAAAAGCTGCTTAATCTCAAGCAGACTGATTATTATAACAAAGCAAACATTTTAGTTTCACCATTCTGCTACCAGCTAATAGGCTAAAAGATTCCAGGCTATACAATTTAAGGCCAGGTGAAAAACTGCAATAACATTTTATATTATATATTAGCTACCTTGTTTGCTTGCTCATTTCATTCCCACTAGTGATTTTTTCTAACCATACTCTTAATGAGACTGTTCCGAATAGTCAGTCTCCTGACATTGCCTCACACGTAATGCTTTTCAGCCGAGTCTCATGTCAAATAACTAAATGCTATAGCAATATGAAGCAGCCTAAGTAGTGTAGAATTTACATATTTCTTAAGAAGCAGATTTTTAACATATCTCTACATTCTGAATTTTAAAAGTGCTTCATTCAAAACATGGAATAATAATGCCAAACATAAAGGACATGGTCCAGCCAGAGACTACAATTTCTTTCCTTGAGAGAATTTTATCATTCTGAAAACCAGTTGGATTTAGAAATGCTTATCCTTGCTTCCTTTTATTCGCTACTGAATCATGGCCAAATTTTTACTTGCTAATTCTGCAATATATTAAGGACATTGTATGAAACAGACCAAAAGAAACTTCCAGAATAAAGACAGAGTTTAATGAACTGGTATTAGTTAGGCCTATAGACCTACTAAATCTATAGATATTCACTTTTGTAAAAGACAGCAAATGTTTTAACACTATAGGCATTTTCAAATATGAAGATTAAATATCTGAATCTGGGAAACTTCTCACTTCCCTAGATCTATGTATTCTGGATCCTCTTGGTGTTGAAAAAAAAAATCCTTTAAAGTTCTACCACACATGGCAATCCGCTTTGAAATTCCCTATCATAAAGTGTGTTGAATTTAATTGATTGTTCAAGGAAACAAACGTCATATTTGAGATCTGCAAAATTGAATCTCTCTCTCTCTCTCTCTCTCTCTCTC